CTGCAATTCATGTGGATGCCAAGTAGATAAGAAATCACCAAAGCAAGTAATTGCAGAAATTAACAATGGAGAAATTGAAGTTCCAGAAAACTAAATGAATTTTGAATTGTTAAATTGAATTTTAAAGTTATACAATTATATATTCATTTTAAAGAAAATTAAAGAAGAAATTAAGAAAAGAATACTGAATAATCAGTTTTTATTAAATTAGTATTTTGAGAACGAAGATATAATTCTAAAGTAATTCCTGATTTTATTAAATCTTCTAATTTATAATTTGTTCCACTTAAAGAACTTACTTGTAAAATAATATCTTTAGGAGTTTTTGAGTTTTTTCTTGTTTGTTTAAAAGTAATAACATAATTATATTGTTTTAATATTTGTACTACTAATTCTTGTTGACTTGAAAATCTTCCTGTCTCTATTTCTTTTTGTACATCTATCGTTCCTAAAATATCACTATTAATTTGAGTTATTACTAATGGTGTTGAACTAAAATATTTACATCTTCTTTTTATAGGTTTTTTAAATATAATTGTTGCATGATTTTCTTTAATTAATAAAGCAAGAAGTCCATTTTGTACAGCACATTGAATTTTTTTTGTTGAAGCATTGTTATTAGACATTATCCTTATTAAATTAAACAAGAAGTTAGTTTCTTTACAAAAAAAAAACAGTTAGTAAATTAGTATGTCAGTTTAAAATGTCATTATTAATAATTTAAGAGTTAAATTGATTTGGTTATTTAATAAATAAAGAAATAAATAATATTTAAAATTTATTAAATTATGATTTACCTAAAATTTTTGCACTGAAAATAATTCAATTAGAAACTACTGAAACTTGATGAAGATGAATTTTTCTTTTTGTAAATAATTATGATAATTATCAATGCAACAGTAATAATTACGAAATAAACTGCATAAAGGAGAATACCCCAAATTCCCCATCCTGAAATACCATGATGTTGTTCATTATTATTATCATCATTATCCTCAGCACTACTATCTTCAGGTGGTGGCATTGGTGGATTTTGTGATTTTTCTTCAAGAATTACTTCAGCCTCAATCATTCCATCATACCCATGTTCAAGTGAAGCAATAAATAAGTAATAATTTGTATCTGGTTGAGTTTGATATGACAATTCTGCACCATAAGTACCACATGCTCTTTTACTTGAGTTAGTACCTGCAACCATAATATCAGGAATAGAAACATATTTACCATCTTTATCTTTTTGAGTATTACAACTTTTAAAGATAGCAATAACGTTATTAATTTCAGTACCTGTGGAACATGTACGAATTGTTAATTGTAATGATACGTGAGTATTAAATCTGAAATATGACCCTTTAAGAGTTTTTCCTGAAACTTTAGTTTCATATGCATAAGCAGTATGAACGTATATAGTTTGTTGAGCCTCAACAGTGTCAAGATAATTTGAAGTCTCACACATAGACCCAGAAGGTGCTTGGGTTGGATAAATAGAAAAACGATGTGCACGAGCAGTTCGTTCTTTTTGAGCAACTGCAATATTATATACTGTTCTAGAATATGCAGAGAATGTAAGTCTACTTGAAGTATCCGCAGAATTATCTAAATTATCATTATAAGCAATACAATTAACATTTTCATCACCATAACATCCAGTTAAAACTTCAAGATAAGTATCAACCTTAGTATCAGATGAAACAGTTGTTGCAATTACATCAAGACTTTCTGATAATTGAATAGAATACCAGAAACTAGGATATTGTGTCATAATACATTTAAGAGTATTGGATTGTGTTGTATCAATAAATCCAACTGTTGTAAATGGAATAGAAATTATCTTTGGAGCAGTACATACTGAATGAGCAATACTATCAAATTTAACAATTCCAACAGATAACGTTTCTTGTCCTCCTGTACCATAAACAAAAACATATCTAATTTCATCATTTAGGAATATATCCATTTGAGCAGTATTTGTTTCTCTACTAACACATTGAGATGAATCACATGTTAATTGTTGTTCAATTCCTATATTTACAATATCACCACTTAATGTACTAGCACCAATACGATAATGTTCAACTGAAGATGAAGCACTTTTCTTAAGTTGGTACCATGCTCCTTGATGATATTCTTCAATACCATCACAACCGTGAAGTGATTGTTTTAATTGTTTCAATGGAATTGTGTCTGTATAACTTTCAGTTAAAGAAAGTGCATCAATACATTGGTAATGATTTTGACCTTTTAATTGTACATTCATAACAATTTGACTATCTGATTCTTTTGCATAAAATTTAGCAATGTATTTAACACCAGCATCAAGATGAAATACTTTATATTCATCTTTATTACAACTTCCACTATAAATTGGTTCTAAAACAGTAGTTGAAGTACATCCTTGAATTAATTCAATACCAGTACCACTAACTTTAGATTGTGTTTTACAAGTTGAAAAAACAACATCATTATCAGTTCCTACAATATTTAAATAAAATACAGGATATTGAGCTCCACCTTCAGAAATAACAGGAGTTAAAGGCCATGCAGATGGAACGTTTTGAGCTCTTGTAAATGGTAAACTAATACTTACAGCATTTTCACAATTAAATGGAAGAGTATCATCAACAGTTTGTACATTAACTTGGAACCTACCATTTGCTCCATTCTTTCCAAAAACACCAATATGATAGTCTTTTCCTTCTTCTGATTTAAATAAAAGAGTAGAACCAGTACTTCCTTTTCCACAACCATTATCATTATATTTAGTACATTCAGCTTGTTTACAAGTATCTCCAACATTAACAGAATCTACAAGTACTAAATAAGTATCAATTTGTGTTAATGAAGAACATGTATCAACAAGATAATATTTTCCTGTTCCTTTCATATGGTACCATTTAGCTGGCATTGATTGTGAAAGACATTTAACATCACCAGTAGGATAATTTACAGTAGAATCAGAGATATCAGAATAAGGAATAGATTGAATTTCAAGTGCTTGTTCACAATAATAATTAGGTAAATTATTTACTTTTACAAAACTAGTAGCAAGACTACCTGATCCATTTCCTACAACTTTGACAAGTACATACATTGTAGTGTTTGCTTTAAGATCAAAGAATGAAGCTGACTTTCCAGTTGAAGAACAAGTAACATCACTCTTTGAAATTTTAGTAACTCCTGAAGCAATATCATTATTACAATCACTGAAAATATAAATTTCAGTTTCAACTGTAGTTCTTGCACCGCATGTAGAAACATATAAAGAAACATCTTCAATTTCATTTAACATAAAATAAAGACCACGAACAGTTTCCTTTGATTTAGTTCCATCTTCACCAGTAAGTTCCACAATTGAAGTTTGGAGATTTTTATCAATTTTATGATGATAAATATATGATTGTTGAACAATAATTGGAAGAGCTGTTGTACATTGTAAATTTGTTGGTATATCATCTGCTCTTGCAAAAAGGCACAAGAGGAGAGTTATTAAAAGCATATGAATTTATATGATTTACAAGTTTTGTTCCTTTTCTTTTTTCTTTAATTTCCTTTTTAAATTTCATTTGAAATATACTGCTTTCTTTATCAATACGCTTTTTTCCCGATTATTAACATCCAAATTCTCTTCTATTTCAACTTCTTTAAGAGAGGAATTTTTCCACTTTAACCATTTTCAAATTTTCTGGTTTATCTCATTCAATAATATTATTTATTAATAATAAAATTATTAATAGTTATAGTTTTTTTTTTATTCTTTATAATATACTTTTCATGAGAATTTTCATTTTTTTTATTTTATTTTTTTCAAATTTTGTGTTATAAGTTTTTCATTTATTTTTATTTAATTTGTCAAAGTAATTAAATTATCAATTACATAAAATTGAATAAAAGATTTAAAAGTAATTTGATGTTGTAAAAAAAACATGAATATATCAGAATAAATATATTTTTGTCACATAATCTAAGAATTAAAACGTTGGTTTGTTCATCATTTAATTTGACTATTCAATAAAAATTAATGACATTAAAAAAATAAAAAGAGTCATTGTATAAATAAATATTGTTATTTTGATAATGTAATATTGTTATTTACTAATAAATGATAGTTTTTAAGAATAATTGTAATTGGCATTTATTATTATAATTTAAAAAAAAACATGAATAAATAAAAATCAATTAATTAAGTATT